GATTTCTAGATTCAGAGAAATAAGGGCAATGTTGGGCTGATGCTTTTTTCTTTTTTTTTTTTTCTTTTTCCTTTCCAGTTATACCTGCATTTTATGTGACTTCAGGGTTTTCAAACAGCTATATCATAACAGTCTGTCGCAAGTGTATTGAGTGTTTCAGTTTGCCAGACCTGTCATAATAAATTAATTACAGGATGTTGCAGAAGTGGCTGAGTTCCAGCAGCATCTTGCACAGTTTAATATAGCCCTATTTCCCCATTTCGATGTATTTGTGGTTAGATAAATCCTCAGAAAATTTACAGCTGCTACACACTAGTTTATTATGCTCCCTGCCTGTGCAGGCGATATAAGTGCAAAAAGAATGTGATGTCTTCTCAGTGCATAGATTTTACTGATATTGCTTTACCGGTGTGGAAACATTTTTCTTCTAAATGTGGCATCTGCAGTTTCTTCCGAGTATTTGCATTTGAGCATTACACAGGACTCATAAGCTTGTTTGCCACCACCAAACTGTGCAAATTAATTTAGCCTGAAAAAAATCCTCACAAAAAACCCCCCCACAAAACAGATAGCTGAAATTGGAGGTGGAAACTCCATAGCAGAGCTATCATTTTCATTCATGAGAGCAAGCTAAAATTATTTTTGCAATCTTTTAAGTCAGCGTACATTGTTGTACAAACTACAGCCATGATGTGGCTCCTGGAAGCCTGGCCAGCTCTGCTGGAACTTTGAGCACAGTGGTGCATTGCCTCTAAGCAGCTTACAGGACTGGGACTCTCAATACACGTGTAACCGCTGAAGAACAGAGCGCCCTGAAGGGGAAGGCAGCAACCAGGCAGCATGCAACAGGCATGGCATTTGCCAGAAACTCTGTGAGTGAGGCACATCTCTGTATAACAATACGTTCATATGATACACGATGCTCAAACCGGTAGATAAATACTGTGTGTGACATTCTCATCACTGCTCTGTTTTACACTGGATAAAGAGGCCAGAGGGCAATAAACTGAAGTAGAGGCGCACATGGCAGCAGACAACAGCTAGAAAAATGCCCTCTAAAGATCTGTGCCAGCAGCAGAATTAGGGAACTAAAGTGACAGCCACCCCAACAGCACAGGTCAGATGTGTGGAGCTTTCTGGATTCCAGCTCAAAGTTATGGCTGAGTCATGGATTTCTGAGAAGCCACAGGAGAATATTCATCATGGGCTCCAAAATTTCATCCAAGCTCCTGTAAATAGCACAACATTTAAATGTATCAAAAGGTGAAGTGGTTAAATATCTTAATTTCTAAAGTCCAAAAAACACCCAAGCTCTGCTCTAACACTCCTCCCCTCTGTCTTCTGTTCCTTCTTCTTAAGTTCCAATTTCTAATTGCCACATTCTTGCAAGTCTCACCCAGACAGTAGTCTTCTTCTTAAGTTGCTTATTTCCCTCTCTCAGACCTCTGCTTGTTTCTATTCCTTACATGCAACAGTTCTTTTCCTAATGCATGTATTTATACTTCAAGCAGTGTAAATCCTTGAACGATGCAATATGTTTTTACAAGTGCAGGTGTACATCCACATAGTAGCTTGTCCAAAACATTCTGTGTAGCCATTGGATAGAACACTTAGGAAAGAAACCTCAGCACAAGCCTGGACTCGAATCGTTCCAGCCCTCCTTTACTGTTCAAAAACACTTCCATCTCCTCCCAAATTCACATCCATTAAATAGGCTGTACTGCACACATACTAATTTCATATGTGCTAGAAAAGGATCATTAGACCCCCCCCAATCAGTCTTTGTGTTTACCAAACAAGTGTTTTTGCTTTAGTCTGTTCCCGCCTTAAATGAAGTATTTCCTATTCACCTTAGTAATTAGAGCAGAAGGATGTAGTGAATGAAATGCCTCATTATCAAGTTTGCATCCACAGACTCTGCAGAATGGCGACCATGCCGGCTATTTTTCGTAGCTGTCTGCTTTTGCTTGTAATGGGCCATTGTTAACCCTAAGTGATCCTGACATTCAATTCTCCATCAGACAATTGGGTCCAGCCGGCAGATTTAGTTCACTAGTCAACAGAGACTTTCGGTTGTCATGTTCCTCTGTGTTCTCATTAGCCCTTGTTTGACTGTGATCCATCCCCTATTGCCTTCTGAATTAAGTGATGCTACAAATACACTTATTGTATTCTACGCTGTCTGTTCCTCAAACTATTTTAAGGAAAAAACTAAATGCAATCTGATGGCTATTGGGAAACACAGGAAAAAAGTGCCATCCCTTCGTTCCTATTTTGTTAATTTATGCTTTCATTGTTCACAATATCTCCGCCAAATTATAAAAATGTAATAGCAGCTCTATGTTGCAACCACACACACACATAAAATATAAAAACGCCAGAACAATGAAAGACCTACTGTGCTGTTATCGCCAGGCAGTTATAAATATCTACTATTTACCCTTTTTTAAACACGGTTTTATCTGTGTTGTGCTAGCAATGAACCAGTATCACCCTGTAAAAACTCCTCCAACAGATGTTTTTAATTCTGGTATTTCATATCAGGGCTTAGCGAGCAACTTTGCAGGGCACTCGTGCTAGAGTACTGATCGTAGTTCTGCAACTTACACAAACAAGGAAAAATTTCAATAGGTATTCTGAACTCGCTGTGAATTCTTTTAAATACTTGGACAACTGTCAGCAAATGCAGACAATGTTCATATTGAAGTGACAAAAAATACATAGGTTGCATTAACATAGAAACAACATGCATTAAGGAAAGTTTAATTTCAAATCATTTAAAAATCATTACCCTCTTCCAAACGGTTTAAAAGTATTATTCTCTTGCAACTTTAAGATACCAATGACAACATCTGAAGAATGAAGAAACTCCTAAAATTGAAAACAAAAAGTAAAAACTGCCTTTTCTATAATGCCCTGTCAATAATTTGTTGTGAAGTGATCTGTCTGCAAGTTCTAACCTAAATACTGAAGGAACACTTGGAGTTTTTTTTTTTTTTTTAATTGCAGATCCTTACTTTTCTTCATTTTCTGTTAAATGAATGCAAAAAGCTCTAAAACAGCAGCAATCTGGTATAAAGCAATAGAAGAGTCCAGCCAACCACGTGATAGGGAGGAAAAAATTACAAAAGATATTGTAATTACAAGAAAACATTATGAAAAGTTTATTTCCAACTCCACACATTTTCATGCTTGGCTCTTATCTGATTTCTTCTGCTTAATTGTTATTTGGAACCATGCCTTGGAAGACACTACTGCTGCCTCTCCTCTCAATTTGGAAAGTGTGGCAAAGCAGCTCTATTCAGCTTCAGAGCAGTGAACATAATTGGAGCCCTAGTTCGCAAGCATGAAAGGAGGTGCTGCGCCTTTGATTAGAACTACCATCTCTCCGTGGTGTTTATCTGAAGTGTTATTTCTGTCTTCAGCATCCACAATGCCAAATTAATGTTTTACAATGCCTTCCAATGAGCTCCCAGATCTTGGCTACTGCTCAGCTCTTCCTGACGTGGAGCTTGATGTCATGCTCTACCCTTATTTTAAGTGTGACCCAGGATATTTTAGAGAAACCTAAGATATTGAGATTTTTCTCTATTATAAAATCTTTAAATCCCTTTAAATTCAAATATATTGCAAAAAGCTGCAATGTAAGAAGCTAGGAGCCTTGCCAAAAGCAGCAGTCCCAGGACTAAGAGAATTTCATACAACTGACCACTGGAAAAGAGACATTCATTATGTTCCAGTACACATACATGCCCCATTTAGAGGAAAACTTCCTACACATATGCACTAGGCATGCAGCTAGGATTGTAAGCAAATTACTGTTACCAATGGGGCTAAAAAGAGAATATTCTGCTCCTTTTCACTGAAAAGAAACAAGTAAAAGAAACAAGTTTACAGGTTTTTCTGGCTTTAAAATATGTGCAGGAAAGATATTACAATATATAGCAACTAGTGCTCTGCATCTGGGTGCATTTCACACATCAGTGCCCAACACTGTTTTTCTCACTTCTTTTTTTAATGGAATCAAGTGCCCTGTCTACTAAATAAGGGCTTTCTAATTTTATGTTATTTATTGCTTCAGAGGGGGAGGAGGAAGAATTTCCTAGCAGAGCAAAAATAAACTGGACATCATCAGCCAGAAAAGAATATCAACACTAACTGATAGAAAGTGTTTCATTTAATATAAAACATAAATTATTTAGAATTGCAGATAATTAGTGAAATCATTAGTGAAAGTGTACAACATAATACTCAAGAAC